AATATCTTCTAACACTTTCTTTGTCAACTTATTCTACTAACCCTAAACCTACCCTAACAGTCTACTCTGAGAGTTAGTAGACATCTAGTTGCAAATTAATGAGAATTAGTTGACATGTAGTTGACATGTAGTTACAAAGTTACTTATAGTTAATAGAATGTCTAAAGTGGACTATCGAAATAAAGTGTAACCATATAACACAACAGCAGAAAAGGAACCACTACCCCCCCCAGAACCCCAATCCCACTGCCCCCTAAAATCAGCTAAATTTACCACTTAACCATATGTTTTATATGTTCTTACACTCATAGTACAATATATGTTGTTCTTGTGTAAAGTGGCCCCAAAATGTATTTGGACACTTACAGTTTCTTTACATTAAACTATAAACCAAGTAGTATCTGTAAACAATTTTTTTCAGAACTAACTAAATTGTATGCAATTATTAACCAACTGGTCCCACTACTGTTCAAAAGTTTGGGGTTGGTAAGATTAAAATATATATATATTATCTTATGCTCACAGAGGCTGCATTCAATTGATCAAAAATACAGTAAAAACAGTAATATTGTAAAATGTATTCTTATGATGGCAAAGCTGGATTTTCAGCAGCCATTAACTCAGTCATTATGATCCTTCAGAAATCATTATAATATGCTGATTTGGTTCTCAAGAAACATTTATTATTATTATCAATGTAGAAAATAGTTGTGCTGCTTAATATTTTTTTGTAAACCGTAATTTTCAGGATTCTTTTCCAGGACATTTTTAAAGAACAGCATTTATTTGTAACATGAATGACTGGTTGCATAAACTGCTTAGACTAGTCTTAAAAAGTTAGTCATATATTTTCTTTTCTTCAAGACTGGTCATACCATTTTAAAGTCAGTGACAAAAAGGTAGATTGATCTAATTTTAATCCAAAAAGTAAGACTGATTACCTCTTGGCTAACTAAACTAGTACTTAAGACACAGTCTTAATATAGTGACTATGTTTATGCAACTGGCCCTAAATGTATTTACTGTCACTTTTGATTCATATAATACATCCTTGATCAATAAAAGTGTTAATTTCTTAAAAAAAAAAATCTTACTGACCTTACATTTTTGAACCATAATGTGTGTATATGTATGCGCTTGTGCTTGCTTGTGTATTTTTTAACTTAATTTTTATTTTTTTAATGATCTATTCCAATGATATACACTTTTAAGTGATGCATAAATGTCCAAATACTTTTTGTAACCACTGTGCTTGCATTTTTTGTATATTATAAAAAAAAAATGTATTTTATTAAATCATTAAAATATTTCACAAATTCCTTTTAATATGATCTAAAAGAGCTGGTTTGGCATCCTAATACACCGTTACTCCAGAAAGCACAGAGAGAAAAGGTGCAGGACCAGAGCAGTGAAGTAATTGGCCATTATAGTTTATTCTCTACGAACATGCTCTTCTTAAACTTTCATTGGAACATTGTAAAAATCAAGACATGTATTGGTAGAGCTATTGCCGTGCTTTAGAAGGGATGTGTTTAACTCTGTTGTGTTGGTATAAATCCTATAGCTCTTTCAATCACCCTCAGTCTTGAAATCGTGACATTTAAAAAGCCACATAACTGTCCGGGTCAAGCTGGGTTACACATAGGTCAGCATGCATAACTTTGATAATGCACTTCAAGTCTTTCACTTCAAAATCCGTCACTCGGCTGTCATTTGCAGCAATTAGAAACAAAAAAAGGCTCTGCTGACTGATTGGTCTGCCTCATTCTACAGTGAAAAACCTTCTCCACGTGTAAGATTCATATCTCTGTGGGGCTTCTCCCACTCCTGCCGAGCCAAGTAAATACAGTCCTCGCTAAAGAACGGCTGAGGAAATGCCAATGTAGCCCACACCAAAGGTTACCCTGTCAGCTTCTCTTAATTGGATCAGCTATCAAGCGCCGTGATGCTCTTTGATTCCCATTCGCAGCTGGACCTCAGTAGCTGCTTTTTAATTCAAAGAGATCTCACTGGACACTATTGAGCAATGATGCCTCGTTAGCTTAATGCGCACGTCAAATTCAGAGCGGAAAACTGATCAGAAAGGGATTTCTGCTAGTTAAGATTTGCTTGGCTTTGTTTATGGCTTTTCAACCAGGGTCTCTTTTGACAGGATGTAATCAATAGAGCCAGATAAACCGTTTTAGAGGTAATAAAAGATCGTAAGTTGTCCTTCCACTCAAGGTTGGGGAGAACATGCTGTATTGATGGACCTGATCTTTTTATCAACAGACTTACGTGGGCAAATATGTCTAGCTGAAACATGCATTAGTCGGCTAATCGGGCACCTAACAAAGATGGATTTGATTTAAAAGTCTCTGAGACCCTAATTAAAAAGAAACTGCTTGACTTTGGCATTCTTTCCCTAATGCCAGTTATGTAATTTAACCTTCTTGTCAGTCACAAAAAGTTTCCTTAGATGTTGGTGCCTAAATGAAGTGCCAGCTTAAATACTCAGTCTTTGTTTACTGAGAGACATGGCCAATGTATGTGGAGCTGAATATAGCTTGACACCTCAAAGAAAACACCGTGTACTGCGATAAAATGCTGATTTTGTCAAAAAGCAGCTCTGAAGCTGGCCAGCCCCATGTTGATACAACAGAACTGGTGAGTGATAATATAGCAGATGTTGCCGGATGGGAAATTCATCACGCAGAGAGTGATGAGAGTGAATTACATAGACTTTCCACCCCACTGTAATCCTGATATTAAACATTGTTCTGGTTTTGATCTTCTGGTAATATAGTTTAAGATAATAATCTTTGCAATACATTTAATGTCGGGAGACAGGTTGCCTAAAAAGGCCTGACTTTACATGATCTCAAGATTACACTCAATGAATCAGATGTAAGGATGAGATGAATGCTAATGATATCTTGTTCTCTGGAGAGAGAAGATTCAAGATACATGCCGTGCAAAGCCGCAAAAAAGATCCAAAGCATTACAGTTAAGATTAAATACATAATTACCAATGTGGCCAGTGAAGTATAACATATCAGAAACATCAAAGAACATTTCCTATGGTCTTCCTAAGTAATCTTTTTGAAAATCAATCATCAATCTTTACAACTAAATATCGCATTTTTAATACAAAAAATTATTCAATTATATTAATAAAATATTAATGTCACAATGTATTACATCAATATGATTTTAAACATGAATATTTATATTAAGATTTAAATTACTGTGACAAAATCTGAAAATGCCGAAGGGTACAGAATTCGAGTTCTCAAGAGAGATGAAATCCATAAATGGTGCTAACAAGTGCAGGAAACAATCCTCCCCACTCCCACCTCACAAGGTGCACTTGTGAGGTGGAGTCCAAAGACTAATTTTGTGTTTGATGATTTATTGCTTTGCCCTTTGTTGATACCTAAAACTTATATTAGAGTTTGCACTTGCTGAAACAGCCCACGTTAATCCTGGAAATGAGCTTTGTGGGTGAAAGTAAAACATTTTTATCATTCATGTTATCTCATCAATCTCTTTCCTGCTGTTGCAGAATCAATTCTCTGACATTGTATCTTAAACTCATTACGTGTGTTTAGAGAATGAATACTTCTGAGAGTCTTTCTGTTATGTGAAAATTAAATATGTACGACCTGCTATTTGCAACCCTACCAACCCTACAATGTTCCTGTGGCTCAATGGTAGAGCATTGCAATAGCAGCGCAAAGGTCGTGGGTTCAATTCCCAGGGAACACACATACTGATAAAAAATGTATAGCCTGAATGCACTGTAAGTCGCTTTGGATTAAAGCATCTGCTAAATGCATAAATTTAATTTAATTTAATTTACCAGTGGAAATGGACCAAAGTAAACAAGGGTCCTGTTGATGTTAGTTATGTTTTATATACAGTACATTACATATTATGAGATAAATATCTAGTATTTGCAACTGCTTAATGGACTACTTAATGTTAAATATGTGCTTCTCTGATATGAGGCATAACACCAAAGAGCTTACAACATGTTAGGTCTGAAAAAACAGTCATGAAATACCAAATACCTAATTTATTTGTCAGTCCAACGTCTTATGAATCTCAAGTTGGCCGAATGGTTCATCATGCAGTACAACATTCATGTATCTATGGCTGATGGGTCTTTTTAAGAATGCTTCAGTGCTTTGTTGTATGATTGATGGGTTTGCTTTCTTCCTCCGATCAATATAAATAACTTGAATCTAAAATCATGAGAAAAAGCACACTAGTTTTAAATGGGTTGCTTTGTCAAGTAGATTGTTTCTGTAGGACATCTCTAATCAAATTACAGTTGATAGTGATGGATAGGGCTTATCATGGTGAGCCTCTAAAAGTAAAACAAGCACAAAACTATCCCACAATATCCCATACTCCACTCATGCAGGGACCCACCCACATAAACGAATAAAACAGCCTCATTTTCTTGCATATATTTGAGGACATATTGGTGCAATAGTGTATGTAGTGTCGTCTTGAAAGCTGTCTATCTCACTCATGATTTTAACATATGATGCAAGAATTTGAAAGATGTCATGTACGCTGTCTTGAGGCCGATTTGTTTAACTTGCTGGCTTGATTATTAAAGTCAAACAGTGTAAAGTACAATCCATCCACAATTTGAGAATAATTGAAGGCTTATTCCCTTTAGACGTTTTATATCCCTGTGATTCTCCACTGTATATGGTTGAAGTTTCAGTTGGAGTGCAAGACACACCTAATAACCACAGGCATGTGGGATACACAATGCAATGCTAAATTCCTAAAACAGCCTCATATTCTTGCATAGACTAATTATTCTGGTAATTGGGAGGCAGCGTGATCCTACCTTGAACTCCTCCAGGATTTTATAAGTCTTCCCTCTGTATTCACAAAAGTTTTTGACCTCCTTGCATTCGGGGCAACACCCGTTGTGTTCCACCTTGGTACACTTGGGGTGTATTTTAGGGCACTCGGGTTGGTCACAGACAGGTCCGTCCTCCGTGCACACGCACGGGCAGTTCGAGTGGCCTGGGAAGAAGCGTTCCCCGAGGTTGTACACGAAGCCACTGTCATCCACGCAACCTTTCCCTCGGTAGTCATCGAAAATGTTGTCATTGTTGGCAGTTCTCTCGGCCTCATCCACGGCGGAATAGTCCTCAGGGCCGACAGAGGCCGGCGAGACAGCGGCGTTCAGGGCGAGCAGCACGACGCAAATCGCCGGGAGAAAAGGGCCCATCCTTCGCCGCGGCAGTCTGACGCATTCAAGGAGAGTGTCTCAGGTCCCTTAAGTTGTAAGTCTCCATGCTGCAAATATGACACTGAAAGAAATGTAAACAACCCGTAGCTTAATAACTGGACATGCATTTTCTTTATCTTACCTAATAAAAAGATCCTCACACTATATTTTAATGATCAAAGTACACTTTGCTGAGAGAAGTAACCATGTATAGGGATGAATGGGGAGTGTTGTAAAAATGTGTTTATTCTATATTTGTTTGTTAGAGTAGTTTAGAAATATATGACAAACCTACAGTGAACTGTATAAACAAGTGTCATACTCGCGCTACTGGTGTGAGTTTTAAAAGTTCTGTATGAATTTGTTGTGGTAGTCAAATTTACTTTTAGTCATAAGCATTTATATCGCAAATGTTAAGCATATGAATTACTTTAACATGACAATGTTGGAATGCTAGAAAGAAATGTAGCTTTACAGATATAAATACTTTTTAAAATACTTTTATACTTTTATTTAGAGATATAAAATATGAACATTTCTTAAAGATCAGTATGCATGCATGTATGTATGTATGTGTATATATATGGCCAAACATGTGGTCAGTCGCGATATAAACATGTAGAAAGCAAAATAGACATGTTGTATATTAAATTAAATAATCTAAATGAGCTGGTTCAGGGTAACAACAATTTGGAAATCAATTTGTAAACCAGACACGATATTTTGCTTTCTAACTATTTCTTCCTTGCTATTGTCTTCTCATGAGGATGGTGATCATGTATGTTAGTGAGTTCATTCGTGTAGCTCATTTCTAATTGGTTAAGCTGATGGTGTTAAAACTCACCCAATGTTACAGCACTCCCCTGTCTTCCATACTGATTAATCTTTGTTAAAGATCTGCCATTTGTTCCCATACAGAATGCACCGAAGATACCCAGACTGATGAAGAGTCAGTTCATATAAACGAGGTGTGTTTTCCTCCTACAGTATGTGTTGGCTCTGGTATTAGTAAGCTCTGGATCAGGAGGTGGTGAGGATATTACTTCAAAAGAAAGGCGTGTGTACGGGAAAACAATCCCCGAAGAACAAAGTCGGTAAATCAACACAAACAAAACCCCAGATAATCACAGGCATCATAGACAGTGCTCAACAAAGTTAGCCAGGATATCTATTTACCAAAGACAACAGGTCTCCACCTTCTAATCCCTCATAGCACTGCAGATAGGTGTGCATTGACCGTGTCCGTGCATTTCTACGCTCTCAATGTCATCTACTCCAAGAGCCTTGAAGAAACGACACGGTTTCTGTGTCATTAACAAGTGCGTAATGGGCTTCGGTCCAAATGCCTCTTCACTCGTGAAAGCACAAGAAATTAACCATAAAATGGCACGATTCTGCACTTAGAAAAAAACAAAAAAGAGTAGCTGCCAAAAGAAAGCACTTCAAAGAAAGAGTTTCTTACACACTGAAAGATAGTCTAGTATTGACAATACGTCTAGTCTATAATAAAATGACTGCCTCTGGCTTGCTGAATGCATCTGTGTAGAGACTGCCTGCCTTGAATGTAGAGAGAAATGCATTTTAAGTAATTCATATTATCATGATCATAATTATTATTGCATTGAAGTACTGCAATGAGCACGAATAAATTTTAAATAGGCGGCTGTGCTAGACTTACCGCGTTGAAATGTCTGGTTCCACTTTGTTGGAATCGTAATCAAACGAGCAAGTGCACCTTCGTGATGATAAGACCAGAAAAATTATTCCAATTCGAGTTGGTGCAAAAAATTTGCTTACTCCAACTGAACAGATAATCCGAATGTCTATAATGTTTACAAATGAAAGCTGATCATGCCCACTTCTGAAATGACATATCCAGAAACGCAGTTATCCTTCCCCGATCATTAAGTGACTTCTCAGAATATGGAAAAGGAAGGAAAAAAGATCCAAAACATCTGTACAAATGTACTTCCTTGTCGTGATCATCTAGTTATCCGCGGCATTTAAATCAACTCCCAAATACTGCAGGTGGAACAGTAACGCCATTTGGTCTTCGGCACCTCCGCTGAGAAAACCATTTGATGTCATGTTAATATAAATAAACGGGAATAGATTCGGTATCATTACGTTTCCCCAGTGCGAAAATAAGTTTATCTACATTGGAGATGCTCGCGCCGCCAGAGCAGAGAGAAAAGCATCATCTGAGACAGCGCTACTAAGTTGAGTGCGGAGAGGAGTGAGAACAGAGGAGCGTTTCATTCAATAGGTCGCCTCAGTGAGTTCAGCACCGTTGAGCGGACAGCGCCGGATCCGGGGTTCAGCACCACGGACAGCACTTGATTCTGCACTGAATCAAGCTCCAATCGTCTCGTTGCTTGTCTAATCATGAACGATTTTGCGAAACGTGCAACAGGACAGTCCCTCTGGACCATCTTTTACTACTCTTCTCAGCGTTTTCATTCGTAAATAGAAAGAAGTCATTGAATCGAGACCAGTCACTAACAGCGGATCTCAGCAACACTTTAATGGCAATTGTAAACTGAGACCGTAGAAATATGCAAAATTGTTGTGCAGAAGGTAACCTATAGGGGCCACTGCATTACTGTATTTGATAGTGAGCTGAGGGTGTACAAAGCAGGCATTATTATTAGTGCCTTCTGCGTCCTTTGTGAACATGTGTAAACAATGAAAAGCTGATACTAACTGTAACTGTGTGTTATCATAGACCTATTTTCTTTATACATAAATGCAGGATATTTATTTATTTTTGAGTGTGTGTGTTCTTTTCCCACTAGGATGAAAAATGTGTTATCTATCTATCTATCTATCTATCTATCTATTTATCTATATAGACTTGAAATTGTGTTCCCAGGCCAGGTTATGTGCCATAGCCCCTACAAATCAAATTGATGTAAAATTGAACATATTTTCAGCATATAAACTCTTCAAGGACAAGAAAGTGTATTCTCTTTTTTTTTTATCACTTTACCTTATATTTTAATTTGGTCAGTAGGGGGCGATCTTAAAATATCCACTATGTTACCAGGACAGCAAATGACTGATAATTGAAAACTGGATATTGGTAGAAATATCAGCATTAAATTGTCTTTCTAATAAACACCTTGTAGTTTCATTATCTAGCGATAGCTAAATGAACTGCAAAACTGTTAACCTTGTTATTTTTTAAAAGGCATAACCATATCCCAACTTATATTAAATTTGGCGAAAAATGGCACAGTGCAATTTATTATTATGCAATTTCTTTCAAGACATTCTTTGTCTGATAGAACATTTGAAACTCTAAAAAATACTTTAAAACTGGCTTTTCATAATAGAAGAGGCACCCATTTTATGGAATTACCTGTTAAGTGTATGTGCTCCAAACTAAAGTACAAATTATACAAATGGATTTCGAACACAGAACTGCATAATACAAGCTACTTCAGTTTGCTTGTGTGTGTGTGTGTGTTTTTTTTTTTACTGTTTCATTACATTAATGGTCTCCAGGACCAAAAAAATTACAGCTTCTGCATTATTATTGTTCTCATGGTAACACAGCAATGAAGGTTCTACAGAAATTACAAAATTAGAAGTTCATCCTCAAATGGTGACACTGGCAGCTGTTATTGAATAATCACACTCAGTTTGTGTTTTGCTCCGACACTGAAACCACTAAGCACCCAAGTTCTGCAGTTAAATTCAGTCTGTTGCAAAAGCGCTCCCGTGGGCCTGCTCAATCACCTAATTTTCTTAATGAATGGAACATTCAATATAATTTCCAAGGCCCATAAAATGGGTCCAAACAAAACAAACAATAACATGGCAGAATTAGCTATTGATAAATCCATAGAAATTGACAAAACAATACCAGTGGGTTATGTAACATCACCTTGTAGATCAACAGGTGAACGTGGTGAGGTTGGGTTCTGTGGGTTTCACCCTTGAATACAAACATCTTCTAAACCCGCAGATGGCAGCCCATCTTAGATACATGCTGTTCACATAGCAGAACAAATCAATAGAAAAGTATCTAAAAGCAAGGACACACGCTTTGCTTTTAAATGTGAAATTTCAGCTAGGTTATCTGCCCCTGAAGATACATTAGGCCTGTTTCAGGAGAGTATGTATGGGCAAAGCCAAACATGAGAAACTATCTCTTAAAGTCTTCATCCCAGTGTGACTCTAATCGAATAAGCATACCTCAGGGGGTGACGGAGTCTAGTGTGCCTTTGGCTTAACCTTCACTCTCTCTTCCTTTGCTAAATCCCTCTTTGGAGAAAATACAAGTCGGCTACACTGATGGCTAATGAATAAAGGGAAATACTTATCTATATATGAAATGCAATGTGGAAATCATTGGTCAAAGCCAGTGAATGAGTGTTGTGTCATGAAGCTTATGCCTCCTCCCTGTTATGAACTTGCTCTGCATGTTTCTCACAGAAGCACTGGGGCTCTCAGCTCATCCGTCACATCATGTACGAATCAAGTGTGTCTGACTGCGAGTGATGACATCACCGGCCGGTAATTGGGGCATGTTTTCTCACTTTCTCGTTCAGAGGGTGTCATCCCCTGTAAACGATCCCACCTAATTGGCCTCAGCCTTTCCTGCCTTATGAAGGGTTCACAGACAGGGTCAGATTAGGGTCGTCACTCTCATTACAGAAATCATAACACTAGCGCATGAGCTCTTATTAAACAGTCTGCCAGGAGCTGTTGAGATATTATCTGATTTTAAAACAACTGATGTTTGTGAAACCAAGTGTGAGAATCTAATGTCTTCAAGCTTCAATGCTGAGATAAAAGAAACCAGGTTTTCACAATTACACTGTCAGTGCAGAGGCTGTATGAGTTCACAGTTTGTTAAAGAGCGGATTCATGCAGACATAGCAATTTAGCAAGGACATAACTCCTGGAGAGACTTTTTGCGTGTCTCCATTTAACCAGATTTTTGTGAAAAATTATAACGATTTGATAGGGCAGTACTTAAATTCAAGTCACCTTTATTTATATAGAGCTTTGCAATAGAGATTGTTTCAAAGCAGCTTCACAGTATTAACAGGACCGTAACCAAATGAATGATGCAAACTTAATCAAATATGAGGCAAATACAAATTGTGCAGCTCTATCAAGATAGTGTTGTTGTTCAGCAAGTAAATTCAATGTTTGACCCCATTGACTTTCATTATATGGATAGTGAATCTTATTTTACTGTAAGAATATTTCAATTGTCTTTGTCCATACAAAGTCAGTGGGGCTCAAAGCAACACTAGACCCCATTGACTTTTACTATACAGTATAATCAAAACACTGAGATAAGAAAGTCATACAGGGTTGAAGCAATGTGGGGGTGAATAAATGATGGCAGAATTTTCACTTTTGCCTAAACTATTCATTTAAGTACAGTATGTGTGTCACAGTACTTACCTTTACCTTAAAGGGATCATGAACTGAGAAATCAAAATTCCCTTGATCTTTTGACATATAGCACCGTGTCTACACCGGACGCGAGCGGCGCGGTGTGGCAAAATACTATAGAACCCATTATAATCAGTGATGCTGTCTACACTGGATGTGGTGCGGCGCGACGCGACGAATCCCCAACAGTAAACTGTTGCCTCATTCTATTTATGATGTACTGACACAAAATTAAAATGATTTGCAAAGGTTGCTTTGTCGCGTCCTGTGTAGACAGACTTTAGCTGTTGCAGCGTGACACCATGCGATGCAGCAACTGTCGCATCCGGTGTAGACATGGTGTAAGAGGTCATTATACTATAAAAACATCTTGTAAGTTTCAGAACTCAAAACTTTCTCGTTAGTCTTAGACCATGTCCACACAACACGGGTATTTTTATAAATGGAGTTTTTTCTTCTTTCGTTTTAAAAAAATCTGATATGAAGCACTGTCAAGAGCATGCCAAACCAACAGGTGGTGATATAATCTCAACCGTAAAGCCAGGTTGGCCAATCAGAAGCCTGAAAACGTCTCCAGTAGGTGGAGATAACAGCGCAGGCGCCGACGTCACAAGCCAAAAACTCCGGTTTCGCTGTCTAGACGATAACACTGCAACCGGAGTTTTTGAAAATCTTCACCCTGGCAGGGGACGAACGGCCTAACCGCATAGAAAAATAACCGCGTTCATGTGGACAGGGCCTTATATTGAAGCCAGTATGCAAAAACAACAAGTTGTGGAATGTGCCACTTTATGACTATATCACTTTATGTAATAGTGTGGCTAAACCCTGCCTCTGCTGAAGAAGATCAACGCCTGCTTCGACATCGCCACCTGTTTAGCCCCGCCCACCGATACGCGCATGTGGTCAGCAGGAACACCCTTCTCCATGTGGTGTAAATAACGAGAGGCAAACGCAGGTCTACGCAGAAACCAAACCATAGCAGTGGGCATTTACTTCCCAGTCTACAATCCTCCACCTATTCAAACGTTCAGATAAATGGGGGTCAATACAGGAAAAAAAAAAAAGCCTAATTACTTCTAAAAACTAAAACAGGGCAGAAAATTGCCTATTAATTCTAAATTATGTTTTTTAATGTAAAAATCTTGATAACATTATAAGTGGACCTCAGAGAACAGTACTAAATAAGGCAGTTCACGACCCCTTTAAAGATGACGTTTGTACGTTTTTTTTTTATATAAAAAGAAAAAAAACATTCTCTTAACCCAGTTCATTGTTCATTAACTGCTGTAATTAATCATTGAACCACCCAGATTCCATCAAATCATTAGAGCGGTTC